GTAATATATATTATAATATATATATTACTATTATTTTATATTTATACATATTATATTACTATTAATTCGCCGGTGGTGACGGTTGGATTCATTAATAATATATATTATATATTATATATTATATATATATTATTATATATTATTAATATATTAAGAATACATTATTTCTTCTTGCGATGGAGACGACGAAAAAACTCGACTTGCATTTACACGGTATGACCTGCACCGAACATTTGTTGTAATTGTCCCTCCTGTTCCAGGCCGCCACAGATATCGGTGACATCTATCAAGACACGACGAACATGGCGTCAATTCTTCTGCATCAAGACGCGAATGGGAAAGTGCTCGTTGTAAGAAGCCATTCTTTTTTAATGTTCCTTTCGCCATTCCGGCACTATTGCGACTCGTATTTCGTCAACCTCTGTGATTCACTTAAACCCTCTATTATGATGATCGTAATACCACGATTCCCCGTAAAACATGCGTAAGTAAGAAGCAATTAACCAGCCTGGAGTTTGACCAAACCGATTGTTTGTTGATCACTGGCTCGCAAAGAAATATAGTTAGGGGTACAAGTTGAGGAAACATGGCTGGTCACGCACGACTCGTCATCGCGGCTACGAAACTTGACGTCCACCCAATTGAACGATACTCAATGGAACAGTTTTACAGTTTCACGTTAATTCTTGAAGAAATCACGGACCTCGATTAACACTTACTTGACATATGTACTGTTCAAAGTTGCGGTTTCACGTTTCACATTTAAATGAAAACGTTTGATACAAGATTAACAAATTATTGCTAACATTACGCAAGTACAATATTAGAAATATTTTATTTAAAATCTGAAATTTCGTGTTGTCAATGATCTGCTATTATTATTATCGATAAATAATATTATTATTGATAAAAACTGGTCCAAAGCTTCATAGACATACGTTACTCTCTAATTGAACGAAACAATTTATGATCTAACGAAGTATTGAAATCTGTAAATACAAAATTCATTCGTTATTATCGCGATTTTATTAATTTACTCATCGAATTTGGCAATAAATAATTATTTTATGGATAATAATTTTATGAATCAAATCAATAACTGCTCAATGATCACTGTGTTCGAATCGAGAAGGATCACGTTTAATACAGTACCGGACCAAATTGAGTGGAAGCAATAACTTAAAATTAAAATGCAATAACTTTTTTCAAACCGGACTAAATGACTTGAACTTTTTGTAAATAATAAAGAGATTATTCTAGTAGACAATGATTCAAATGATTTTTTAAAAATTCTGCTATTACCTGTAATGACAAAAAAAAATAAAAAGTCATATTTTTTAACTTTTTTATCTGAGCCTATAACGAAAATTTAAAAATACGTTTTGTAAATTTTGATAACTTGTAATCGGTAAAATTTAAAAAAAAAGCATTATAATCATTGTCTAGTAGACTAGTCACACTATCATTTAAAAAAGATTCTAGTCATTTAGTCCAAGTTTTAAAAAAGATACTGCGTTTTATAGTGTCCATTCAATTCTCTACTGTCGGGTACTGCATGTACACAGAAATTGCCTTGCACTTCACGTAAAACCACAGACGAGGTATAGGAGTAGATTGGACATCCAATGTATTATTTTGTCACCCTAAATTTGGGTTTCAGAAGCCCTATTACCATTCCCGTGTCGCGCCTTTCCTTACCTATATTTCAGAAATTCAAGCTTGTTAATGAGGATACAGCATTCTGTATGTATAGTACTTCGTTTGTATTACGGCACATTTTATGATTTGGAAACCACAATTTCATACAGCGCATACATTCAAACGATGAAAATACTACCTTATAAAGTATGATAAACTGCAGAACTGAAGGATACTACGGGAGATTATCTACAATTAACTTGAATAATTATATCATAAAAAACAGAGGATATCAAAATGGTCGCTGTTCGACGTACAATCTATCTCGGTTCAGCTTGTTATACTTATTATTATCTCACTTTGTCTGGCCGTATTAGAATCAGTTATATTTTAATTTTCCACAAGCAGAATTTGAAGTGGAAAATTTTTTTTTAAATCTTCTGGTACATGGCTTATTAACTGAAATGTCTCAGATTTATTTCAGAATTTTTAAACTCGGCCAAATGGGAAAAATGAGCAAAAACTAAAGACGACATTGTAACGCATTGCCCACTAATAAATAACAAACAGATCTGAATTCTTTTGTTATTAAAAATATTACAAAACAAAAGAAAAGTCGACTATTTCACAATTCCAAATTGATTAACTTCTAACTTTCTCGAATTTCATAATTAATAATAATTGATATTTTATAAGATCTCTTAGCAATTAAAATTGTTGCCGTTTAAATGAGATATAAATGAAGAAATGAAAAGATCAATTTAACTTTTCTTTTAAATTATATTTTATATAAATAGCTTGGAGTTAAAATGTCGTAAAGCAATGAGAAATATATCATTATAAGATATTTCAGTAATTGTATATATGTAACAGGATGTGATCTTCACCGATTTCAAGGTCATCATTCTGAACAATTTTTTCCTATACATGTTATCACCGCTTGCTTTTATTGGGTTGGCAACTAAGTAATTGCCGATTTCAGTTATAGATGTCCATCACTCCCATTTTTATGATATCCGTAAATGTTATATTATAAAATTATTATTATTATTATTATTATGTTATTTTTTAATATTCGTGAATGTTAGCGACTGGACAAATTGAATGCAGCGGTCAAGGAAAAGCGACTAGAATTGGTCAATCGTAAAGGTGTCATTTTCCACCAGGACAATGCTAGGCCGCACACGTCTTTGTCCACTCGGCAAAAATTGATGGATATTGGTTGGGAATTGATGTTACACCCACCATATAGCCCTGATCTCGTGCCATCGGATTACCACTTATTTCGATCCCTGGACATCTCCCTTCGTGGTAAAACTTTTAATGATGATGACGCTGTAAAATCTCACTTAACTCAATTTTTGGCCGAAAATGATCAGACTTTCTACGAGCGTGGAATTTTCAAGTTGTCAGAGAGATGGCAAAAGGTCATCGAACAAAATGGAAAATACATTACAGATTAAACTT